AAGCCTTTTCTCTAAATTGCAAAGTTTCAGAGCAACTGTATTCTGGGCTGAACTGGAAAAATACAAAGACAAAATTATTGAATCAGATCAGCAAAGAGTCTAACTGTGTTGGTCATGAGCCTAATTAGGGGGAGAATCCCTTAAAAATTATTTAGCAAAAAAAGAGTTGATGTAAAATTTCTTCTCTTTGGTATAAAATTTCTTCTGCTGTTTTCATAGAGCAGATGGTGACACAGGCAAAAGTCAATTTCATATTTTATATTTTCATCAATCTATTATCTAAATACTCTTTTAAAAAAAATCTCAAACTTTAAAAATTATCTAAATATCATATACATGTATGTATACATATATATGAATTATTAGTGTTTAATTTTTCTTCATACTGGACAGTATTTTCCATTATGCATATTGTATAAATTCTATATTATTATATTCTATAATATTCTATATTATACATAATATAATAGTCTACATTATATAATAGAAAATGCTGATACATATGAAGAAGAGTTAAACATCACTAATAATTCCACTACTCCCAAATAATCACAACTAACACTCTGGTGTGTTCCTTCTAACATGTCCTCACACTTACATGATGTATATGAATTTCAATACACATACAGTTTTGTATCATGCTTTTTCCACATAATTTTATGTAGTGTTTCTCCATGTCATTAAATATTCTTAAAATTCTTGATGTTCAGTAAAGATAACAACATTCTGTTTTATGGGTGTCACATAATTTATTATGGATATCATTCATCATGGTTTCTACTTTTTGATTGTGTAAATAATCTGTAATGGATACCTCTGTATAAAGTTCCTGTAGGCATATATTTGTGACAATTTCCTTATGATCATTCTCTCATTTTTAAAAAAATATTTATTTTTTAGTTGTAGTTGGACACAATATCTTTATTTATTTTTATGTGGTGCTGAGGATCAAACCCAGGGCCTCACCCATGCTAGGCAAGCACTCTACTGCTGAGCCACAACCCCAGCCCCCCATTCTCTCAGTTTTAAACTGCAGCTAGGACCTTTTTTTTCCCCCCATTACTGGGGATTGAATCCAGGGGCATGCTCTACCACTGAGGTACATGCTTGGCCCTTTTTATATTTTATTTTGAGATGGGTCTCACTAAGTTGCCCAGGCTGCCCTTGAACTTGATCCTCCTGCCTCAGCCTCTGAATCACTGGGACAGGCCTGCACCACCATGCTTGGCTAGATTTCTAAAACTACTATTTCTAAAATTAAGAAGGTAGTTTTTGAGCAGTCCAGTCTCAGCCACTCGGAAGGGATGGCCAAGGTTTGGATATTGAAAACCCTTGTTCAGATTTTCCATTTTCCTCTTTGTTTCTTTGGCACTCAAGATTGAACCCAGGGCCTTGCATATTGCAGACAAGTACTCTACCTCTGAGTTACATCCGCAGCTAGAATTGCCAGTTTTAGTTTTTTTATTAAGACATTTAACAATTTTAAATTATATAATATGGCATTTTGTTTTTCTGAAGGGGGAAACATGCATCATTCAAAAGAATTAATTGAACACCTACTACGTGTGTGGCTCAGTACAAACTCTGGGGATCCAGTTATGAGCAAAGCAGACAGGTTGATAATCACATATTTATGTTTGGATGTAATTTTTTTAAAAAACCTCTGCTGGCCTGTAGAAAGACCCCCCCCTTCCCATTTTTGTCTATTTTCTTTGGAACAAATCACATTTATGCTGAGATTAGAAGGAAGTACACATGTAATGCACCTGGCACAGCAGGTCTTCAGTAACAATGGTTGCCCTCCACCTTCACATCCCCTTGAAACAGTTTTCATTCATTCATTGCCTGTGCTGAGCCACGTAAATCCCCATGATTTCCAGCATGCACAGCTAGGCTGTGTTCTTCTCCATGAGTCCAGAATCTTGGCATCAATTACCACCAGGTTCTAAGTTAAAACCAATAGAACTTGACTTTGAAGGACCAATAATTTACAGATTTTGGGGTTCAATGTTGAGTTGTGAATCTGAGTGACAGGCATTATGTGAAATGTTCTCTTTGAAAGTTTAATGGAAAATTTGGGGCCATTCAATGTTCCCTTTGCATTTTATACCACTCTTGACTCTTTTCCTTCTAGACCTCAGAATCGCTGAGGCTCAGTCCTCAAGAATCACTTCCTAAACTGGGCATAGAGGCAAACACCTGTGGTCCCAGCTACTTGGGAGGCTGAGATAAGAGAATCACTTGAGCTCAAGAGTTCAAGACCAGCCGGGGAAACATTGTGAGACCCCCGTCTTGAAAAACAAAACAAAGCAAAGAAGGAATAATTTCTTGCTTTGTGATCAACTGCTCATGACCTTGAGACAGCTTTGGTCATTTGGAGAGGATGTAAAACTGGCTAACAGGATGAAAGGATGAATTCCATCTTCATGTATTGGGCCAATTCTCCTTCCCTACAGAACTCCTGGGGATAAATACAGATTATTTGAGGGAGTAAAATTCTTCTTGTAATTTTTTTCCCTTTTCTGTAAGCACTAAAACCATTCATTTTCCCAGAAGGAAGCTTGTCTCTTACGCACATTCTCTTTCAGCATGTATCTGTTGTTAATCCAGTTCCACCGACAGCTCGTCAGGGGCTTATTTTGTGGAAGTTCTAGATGGTCCTAGCAACCCATAACTTCTTGAAGGAATTGTTCTAAAAATCAGAAACTTTAAAAACTAATCTTCTGGCCTTAATGAAATAAAACAAAGAAATAAACCTGGAGAGGCTTGTAGAACTCTCCAATGGGTTGTAGGTAAGGAATAATACCAAACAACCTCTTCTTACCTTCCACACCACACTTAGTTTCTTTTCTTAGTATCTTTTTCTCTCTCTGGATCATTTATAATGTTTAAAAAATCTTACTGGCAGCTCGTTTTAATATCATGTTGCCTACAGTAAATCTAACCTAATGTGAAAAAATTATTGGCTAAGTTTCTTTTATCCACATTAGAGAGTATTTGAAACATTGATCTCTGAGCACCTTTGATAGATCATGGCCACCTGATAACTCTCCCAGGATGGATTTACTGCTAGTCAATGCATGATGAATTGTGTACTTCAGGAGAGCAAGGTTGGGTCCACACATGGCTGTAATGGAAAACCAGGCAGGGGAATTTATATACCTAATTAAAAGGAGCAAACTCTCAAATCCAGACCCATAAATTGGCTTTTAGAGCTCTGACTGCTGAAAGAGTTACAAATCAAAGCAATTTGAGGTGAGAGTTCATTCTTCCTGAATCAGGGGAGCTCAGCCAGCACTTTAAAAACTGTAAGCTTTTCACTTGGTATTAATTTCACTTACAATAAGAAATATAAATGTAATCAGAATCATATGACTGTAGAGAAATCTGATTTATGAAAGTCTGTCAAAGCAGCTGTAGACTGTAAGAATCAGCACCTGATATAGCCTGAGATGGAGAATCACAGGATTGTTTACCTAATAAACCCAGGAGTGTATAAGATATCCTGGATCATTTAAAAATTTTTTTTGTGTGTTTGGATAAGAAAGTTTTAAAAAAGGAATCTGGAAAAAATATTGGATCACAAACAATTGTAGGAATATGAATTCTCTGGTGTTTTCCACGTAGGGCCATAATAAATTAGTTTACCCTGTGATTTTGTTGAAATATTTTGCTGAATTGATGACTGGTGAGCATGTCCTTGTGTGGCTCCATATTATTATCATCCTGGGTCGTTTGGAGGACATAACATTGGCTTTTAATCACATCAGCAACATAAACCATAATGGTGGTGTGTATATTTCTTGTTTCATAAGTGCCTTTAAATCTGTGAGTAGCTTGATATCCCATGAGCAATATGAGCTCCAGGCTCCACGCACCGCCCAGAAGAGAGCTCCATGAACCTGAGGATCAACTGAACTCCAGGCCCCAACACGGTCAGCCCTGGACATCCCTGAGCCCGAGGAAAGCCATCTAGTAGATGATCCTATTGTCTGGAAATGTCAGAAGCTGTGCTGGGGACAAGTGTGGAAGTCACATCTTTCAGGTCTTTGGGACCAAGGGGCCCCATTCTTTGTGTGTGAGAGACTTAGAGACTCAGAAATAGAGAACTTGAATAGGCAAAAATGAAGGACCTGCAAGATACCTAGAGAGCTTCTGAAAGCATTTCTTTGTTGCAGGCAGGGAGCGAGATCTTTCTCACGCAGTGTCGAGCCTTCAGCTGGTCTCCTTCAAGCCTGAGGGATTCTCTGCCAGAGGGAAGAAGGATGGCGAGGGGGAGCTAATGGCCGCCCTATCATCAGCTATAGACTTAAGGCTGTATTAGTTTCTATAAATATTTGACACGTGAGTAGTAAGCAGGGAGCAACGATCAGGTCTGAATTACTCATTTGTTACTCTGTAAATGGAAAATTGAGTGTCTTCGGATGCAGTCAGCTTGAATCAAGTTTGACATATATAATCAGTGGGCGGACACACCGTGGGTGGCGCAGCAAGAGGTTCGGAGGGCCCGTCTCCAGTGAGAAGACTCCTCTGGAGTTTGGCTGCTTGCCTTGGGGCACTATCCCCCTGGATTAGTCCCCAAACCTGCCCTGGGCCTGCCAGCTAAAGCTCTGGAACCATCCCAATCTCTTCCACAGGCCTTTCTTTTCTCTTTGTACTGCAACTGTATTTGGGATGTGCCAGAGCCTTTTACCAGGTGCCCTGGACAATTCTATTTCCTTATTCTACTCTACTCCAATCTGTCCTCTTAATAATCCCACACTCTAGACAGACTTGGGTTTGAATCCAAGTCCTCAAGTTGGAGAAATCTCTTTGAGACTCAGTGGCCTCATCTCTGAAATGCGGAGTGAGCAGCCAGCTTGGGTTAGCCTGGGATCCAGGACTTCAAGTGCTAAAACTGGGAAAACCTCGAGCAAATTGGGAACATAATAAAACAGGAGGTCGGGCTGCACGGTGGGCATCTTTTTCTGAGGCGGGGTGCAGACCTGGGCATCCCCTCGATGTTGGTGGGCTTTGTACCTGACTGGATGAGGGGCAAGGCAGAAGTCAATCAAGAGAGGATCCAGCAGCTTCTGGAGGAGAATGACCAGCTGACCTGCTGTATCGTGGATTATCAGAACAAGTGTGTCCAGTACCAGCACGTGTTACATAGAAACCTCATTTATTTCGCTACCATCACAGGTGCCAGCCCATTCAGTTCTTCAAAAGCCATGGAATGATCTTTCAGTTGTAAGGAGTAATTGAATGTAATCCATCTCCTATAAAATAGAGACAGGATCTTTACCTGCTTAAAACATGAAACCTCTGTGGTTCTTTTTAAAATGTGAAAACGTGAAGAAAGCTACTAGCTTAACTATATTCTCAATGTAAATATTTATTTTAACAATTAATCAGATCTCCCAGAAAGTAGACCCAGGTGTCCTCTTTCCTGAAATGGGAGTCTGTTCGGGTGACAAAGACATCAAGGGCATCTTCAAGACTACTCTTTAGTTTTAGCCTGAAGAGGGAAACTGAGTAGGTACTGGAGGATCAGCAGGAATTGCTGAGACTTCTGCCTGAGCCTTTAAAGGCCAAATGGATACAGTGTCTGTGTGTCCCATCCAGTTTGTAAATGTGTTTCCCCTGACCGCCCTTCTCTTTCTTACTTTGAAATAAAGCTTGCTTTTCCACAACAGAACAATATGAAGGTCTAGATGTTTCCATGTAACAAGTGTTATAATTGGTTCCCTCAAAAATTGTAAGGACTTAATAACCATAAGGTATGTAACAATACTACTGTTATATGTTGCCGACAAAATTAATAGTGATTCTTTAGTATTATCTAGTGTCATCGGATAATAAATGATGTGTCATTTTCTTTATCACACACAAAAAAATAAAAAACAAAATAGGAATAGTAATATCATGGGAAAAGAAACATCTCCAAAGAGGGGCCCAAGGAGTTCCCAGAGAGGAAGGGGAACTCGATTCAGGACCAGTGGGGTTCCTGGCATATGTGATGGAAAAGAATTTCAGCACCTATCAGACACACAGACAGGTTTATTTAGGAAATACATACACATTCAAGGAAGAATGGGGGTTATCCAGAGAGTGAGCAGCCCTTCCTTGTTTGGGGCTCTAATATTTATAGCGGGTCAGTAGTTAGAGGCTGGACTGAAGTTGGAGCCATGTGATTTTACACCAGTTTTCCCTGCGCCTGTCTATCTCCCTCAGTTTACAAGGGCCCAGGCCAAGGACATGTCGCTCAGGAGTTACAATGCTTCCTGATCACTTTTACTCTTTTCAATGCTCATGAGCATTGTTCTTTGAGACTCATCTCTCTTTTTATCCTAACTCCCTATCTAACACCTTGTTTCTTGTATGGATGAACTGAAATATTGTTTGGAATATTGAGGATCTGGCAGGGAGTGAGTAGCCAATACATGCTAGCTCCTGCCCTCCTCAGTCAATTCAAATATTTGTGAAACAAGGTTTGTGGAACACATCTAGGTACCCCTGTAGGTGTTGAGGGCCGTGAGCAAACAAAGGCAGATACACGACCAGTCTTCAAAGTGCTCCCAATCCAATTGGGGATGCGACAGGAATGCACATGAAACAGCTCTTTTCTTTATTTATGCTTTTGTGCTCCGTTTCCTTCCAAAAAAAAAGATTGGAGGAAGCTCAGAATAAATGATACTGACACGTGGACCTAAGAGTTGAAAGACAACAGCCTCGTAATTAAGGGAGACAGCGGTGGAATAATTACACCAGAATCGCAAGGCTAAGGAAAGCTATTCCAATTGCACGCAAAACATCCAGAGAACAAAACAAGAATAACACAAGGCAAACTAAAATGAACCAGTAAATTATATGGTGTCAGCTCCACAAGTTTAAGGTACTGCTGCAGAAGTTCAAGGTGGAGTTGATGATGATCTTCCTCAATTCTGCAGCATGACCGTGGGCTGGTCTCCCATTCCCGACTTCAGTTTCTTAGTCTAAAAACTAAGGAGGGCATTTCTTACTTCTCATGACACCCATCAATTTGTGCGTGACGTTCTGCTTCCCCTGACTGTTAGGAGGCTGCGTGGCCCACGTGTCTCCCAGGTTGGAGGAAGATGAACAGGGTCCTGTGCTGGGGAAAAGTGCAAGGGATTTTTAAATCTTCTCTCCAGGAATTGGGAGGAGAGAGAGGACAGGATGGATTAATGGTGCTGAGGGAAGTAGGAGAGGTTGGGAAGAAGGCTTTTGGGACGCGTCGCCCAGAGCCATATGTTCACTTTGTGGTGCTTAAGAAATGCATGTCAAGACTCTGAGGACTTCTGGAAATTCCTTTTTAACTGCCAGACTATTTCTTTGGCCCCCAAGCCTTTCTAAGACAAGGATCAATGAGTGAATGTAGGAGAAGGCGCCTCACAAAGGCCCTGTGTGAAGGTGGAGCTGGTGCCTCTCCCAGCAACTCAGACTTCTGATTTTGCTCTTCAAACAAAAAAGAAAAATGCAAAAGATTTGGGCACTTGGGATCCTGGCTCTCGGCCTTCTTAGTCCTATGTCCTTGGGCAAGTTACTTATTCTCTCCAATCTCAAGATCCTCATCTGTAAAGTGGGTTGTCTGAAGAGACACAAGCTAAGGCCTTGCATATAAAGCCCTCAGAGCAGAGAAGGGCACCTCTCAGGCCCTTGAGAAATGCTGGTTCCCTTCTTCCCTTCACCTTTTCGTCTTTTTCATGACGCCTGATGACAGTAGGCAGACAATTCATTCCTTCAGGACCAGCCCAGGGCCCAGGCGAAGGTTCCACGAGCCTTCTCCCCTAGTTCTCCATCAGCTGGGCCCCACACCTCCGGAGGGAGGGAGTTTTCTTAGCCCGAGGCCTACCCTTTGTCCTTTGTCCATTGCTTGGGTTTGTGTTTGCTCCTTCCAGAAAGTGACTGCAGACTTCTAAGTTAATGTGGAGTCTACAGCACAAACGTCTGACAGTCGCTACGAGGACCAAGCCCTTCTTTGGTTACCCATTACTTTAAAACTCTCACTTGACTCTCCTTCACTCCCATGGCCAGGATCTAGCCCCGAGCACTGCTCTGACCCGAGGCTTGGTATTATCCACATTTCCTTGTAATTATAACTCCTCCGGCCCTGCCCCTGCATTTCATCTGCTTCCTAATACACACTTTGAACCCCAGTGCAAACTCTGGTTCCAGAGCTGCTCAGTTGGCCCAGTTTCATGTTTTCTTTGGCTTAGCTGCTTCTTCCCATGGCCTGTTGCTTTGGTCACTCTCGTTGTTCCCTTTACCTTCTTAACCCTATTGTCTTTCTGTCCATCCACCCTAAAACACTCCAGCCCTCAGCCTTCTACATACAGATCAGTAACTATTACTGAAGAAAGTCACATACAAACACCTGCTTTCCAACTCCCCCAAGAGCTTGGTGCTGCCTGGAAATCCTTCCATGTGTCCTAGTCTTTCTCCCATCTCCTTAGCCACCAGTCCATCTTGAAATACACCCTTCCATCTTCCTGGGTCTCCCCAATGACCTTCCTTGCCTTTTACTTCTCTGGGGAAATTGAGGCCATCTTTCAAGGTCTTCTCTGGGCCCCTTGGCAAAACTCAGAGACTCCAGTTTGTGCTCGCCTTTCCTTTCCCTAACTCCCTCAGTGGAAGAGGTGATTTTTCTTCCAAATTTCCCCTTAGTGATGTGATGGACCCCTCCCCCACAACCTCGGCCATAGATGTCATCCTCCTGTGCTGTCAACCAGTTATCAACTCAATGACCTCACTCTGGTTGTCCCAGAATTCTCTCTTTCTTTTCTTTTCTTTTTTTTTTTTTGTTTGAATTTTGAGACAGGGTCTTGCTCAGTTGCCAGGTCTGCCCTTGAACTCAACATAATCCTTCTGACTCAGGCCCCGCCCTCAAGTAACTGGGATTACAGGGGCTGGATTTCTTTATTAAATTTTAAAATGTCCTGCTCCAACGGTCCCAACTCTTCTTCAATGTATAAAGGTGCTCAAATTTTTCTCCTCAAAAGATTCTTGTCACCACACACCTGCCCCCAGTTATTGTACTGTAGGACAAGAAGAAAAATATCAACAAGGGACTATTCACAGACTCCTCAATCCACCCTCCAGGGAGAACTGGGCTGTTGCCAGCTGAGCCATTTCTCTCCCTTCCTTCTTCCTGGAGGCATTTTGCTTGTCTTCCTTGCTGTGCAGAACCTGGCCAATGGAGGAAAACAGGAAGAATTGCACCAACGATAAGAAGTTGGAGGGGGAATGGAAGTTTGTGGGTAACTGATTTTGGAGAAGATATTGTTTTTTTTTTATTTTATTAAAAAAGTTTTTATAGTTGTAGATGTACAGCATGCCTTTATTTAATTAATTTATTTTATGTGGTGCTAAGGATCAAACCCAGTGCTTCACACATGCTAGGCAAGAGCTCTGCCACTGAGCTACAGCCCCAGCCCTTGGAGGAGCTATTTAAATGAGAGAGGTAAGTAAATCTATTTTCAAAAAGTGCGATATGGTCTTTGCCTCCTAGAATTTTACTGAAAACTTACTGTAAAGATTTTAATTGCTTTAGATTAGTTTGAATTGCCATTCCATTATTTCTTTGAATGCAGATTTGTGCTGGACTGAATAACAGGTGGTTGGGATTTTTACAGGTTGTACTTTGTGTTAATTAGTTTTTCATCACGATGGCAAAATAGCTGAAGAAAAGAACTTAGAGGAGGAAAGAGTTATTTTTAGCTCATGGTTTCAGAGGTTTCATGGTCAGCTGCCCACATCTGTGAGCCCAGGGTGAGGCAGAGGATCATGGTGGACAGGGTGAGGTGGGGCAGAGCTGCTCACTTAATGGTGGGAGAGAAAGGAGAGATCGGGAGGGGGAAGAATTAAAGGGAGTCAGAAACAAGACGTTGTCCTCAAGGGCACACCCCCAAGGACCCATTCACTTCAACTAGGTCCTACCTCCTACAATTTCCACCTCCCAATAATCCATTCAGGTATAAGCCCATCCATGGATTAATCCATTGATAAGGTCATAGCCCTCATGATCCAATCACTTTCTCAAAGCCCTACCTCTGACATTGCTGCTTTGGGGCATCAAGCCTTCAACACATGAGCCTTTGGGGGGACATTCCAGATCCAAACTATAACACCTACATCTCTTTTTCCTTGAAAAATAGAGGACACTTCAAGTCTACAGTGAGAAAGTTAATTTAATTTAATTTATTCCTCAATTCACCACTAT